TAAGTGCCAGAGATTCTATATTTTCCCCAGTTCTAATTTCCTCTGAAGATAATAAATGTCAAGATGCTTATAAATAAGAGAAAAATACATTAGCAAAAACCACAAGATATAGTTCTGGCTTACCTGAAATCACATCTATAAAACATCTATTAAACTGCTTTTGGAATTAGCCTTATAAAATCACCTTGTACAGTAGGGTATTGAATGCATGGATATCATAATTTACAATTTTTCTTAAGCAAAATAAAAACCAAACCCAAGCAAAGTACTGTGTGCAATTGCTTTCACTGATGCCCATCAAGCAAACTGACTGCAAGTTCTCTGAATTCATACTGGGCTGAGTATGTACTTTCATCATCCTCCGAACTCGGTCTCAGTGCTAAAACAAATAAGGCAGGTTTGCCCTTATTCTTTCTCGGCCCTTTTAAAAACAAAGAAATCTTTAGTACAACTGCAAATTCCAAATAGCTTGTGTTACTGTTCTTTCATAGGACTCTTCAAAGTAAGAGACAGAAAGAAAAATATACACTTGGTAGTACTATGACCATCTTCCAAGACAAAAAACCCCCCTTAAATTGCCAAAACTATATTACAGCAAGCTTTACTTCAAAAGTGTTTTAATAATATTTCTTTTCTTAAGCTATGTTCCAAAACTGACAGTGCCCATTTTTTTATGGCTTTTTTTGGGTAGATCTTCAATCTTACATTAAACAGTCAAATCAATATAAAAATGCAACTAACTTGACATATTACAAATAAAATTTAGGAAACAGACATCTTCAACTGCTTTTCAGTACAAAAAGCATGAAAAAGTGGAGAAATCCATCAAAACCAGTGGTTGCATTTTTGGTTTCCAACAATACTGCTATTTTACTGACCAACTAGACTGAACTATAAACACAAGAACTCACATTAACTGATGAATCTGAATATGCATTTCCCCAATAAATTAAGGTATTCAATCAAATAAGTAACTGTGGCTGCAGCTTTTCCAATAAACATCTTCTGTCCTTGAAGACTAAGATTACTTTGGTGCGGTGGGGAGGAGGAGGGGAGCAGATGATATTGGTGTAGTGGGTGGCTCCAGTCAGGTGCAAAAACAGGATGAAAGAGAAATTTAACAACAGCACTGGGTATTTTTCATGTGTGACATGAGGAAATTAAAAAAAAAAAAAAGAATAAAAGTAAAAGCACAGCAACAAACTTCCCGGTTGTCTTAAACGATCTCATTTCATAGTGTCCAAAGCCATACCTCTGTATGGAGCACATAAGAAATGTGTAACAGAAATATATTTTTAAGGTTTCTGCCAGATGGGCAAACACCTCAAACACACCCACAGATACTAATGAAAACCACCTTGGCCTCCTTCAGGAAGTCATTCAACACTTCATAGGAAAAAAAAATAGGAAGTTGTTGATAAACTGCTTGCAAGAACTACTTCCTGTAGGAAAAATAATTATAAGACTTGTTTGCTGGACAATCAGTTAACTTTTCCTCACACTACAACATAAGAAGCGGTATTAGACAAGCTTTGTAAGAATTAAAAGCATAACTCCAAGCTAAAATGATACAAGAGTAACTCTAAAATTAATCAAAACTTCTTTTTTCTTTCTGCAAGTAGTTGCCTGCTACTCCCATGGCATATTATCTTTTGCCTAGAGAGCGATCCCCTATCTTTCTCCATAGTTCACCAAAATGTCAACCAGCAGCTGGCTAACAGGAAGCGGTTAAAAAGCAATGCAATTGACATCACCACACAAACCAAGCACGGCTTTTATACCGCATGTTTAAGAATGGGCTAAAGCTACCACACAGCAATGCCGGGATGAGTCAGATCTGACCACTTACTAACTAGGCAAGTCTTAACTGATGAGTTCAATTTAAGAAGCAGTATCAGTAAAAAAATAGGATTAGTTTTACCAGCTGTATAGTAGTGGCCTTAACTCATGGCTCAAAATCATCACTAATGGAAAATTATTCTCAGCAGAACTGCTCATAACAGTGAGATGAACATTAATGAGTGGAATTCTGGCAAATCATATGTCGGGCATTCATACCTAAGGGGGTCTATTTATCTAAGCTGACTGACTAATTTATAAGAGTAGCTCTGGTTCAAACCCTACACTACCACTCTCACCCTCTTTTAATATTTACGGATATGTGGGGTGTGTACATAAAATACGTGGCCAAATAACTGTGCATGTATCTGCGTGTGTGTATATATATATGCACACACAGGCGATTAAATGTTTTCTCTCCCACATACACTACTTTCATTTCTTTGCACAAACTAATGCTTGCAGTACTCAACCCATCGATTAGTGGAAGTGACTGTAATTACAAAGTGTATTAAGTACAGTACTCAATTTCATTTTATTCTGTTTGCACCGTAGTATATTATGATAGCTATAACCATAAGGCTTACTGACATCTGGAAAAAATATAACATTGTTACCTATTCGGCAAAGATCCTTCTAGAGCCTGGTTACCAGACTGTTCGTGGAGTGGCTACAGAACAGAGCAAATGGAAACAAAAAGCAGTGCAGCCAACCCAAAAAAAAAAAAAAAAAAAAAAAAAGATGAATACTTGGAAAAGACACCAGAAATCTGCATATGGTAGAAGGAACCACTCTAAATGTATTTAGAATCAGAAATCTTAGTATTCACATTCCAAGCAAATGTTTAAGGTATAATTAAGCAAGATGTTAGTTTTTAACAGGCTTGTGGATGTGAGATAGAATTTATCACTCAACACTGAAAAAACCTTTTAATATACAAACTTGCTACTCAAAGCTAATTTTTACATTTCTTTAGACTTCCTACACATACAGAGCAAACATTTTACTAATACTTGAAATGCTTTTTACAAATCTTCATGAACTCCAATGATCTCAGTGGATCGCACCTGTAGATAGAGTTAAGCAACCTTTTAGGAACAACACATGTTCTTTAAGCGTGAACAGTCCTCATTAGACTCTCCCATACCACAGTATCACCCAAGGAAAGCCAAAAGAAAACAGCCTATTACACTGTTTAAAATCTCCCAGGGTCAGCATAGGACCCAGCAGGGAGAGGTTCAAAAAGTACAGCCTTTATTTTTCTTCCTAACAATATGGTTTGTTTCCACTCCTTTCCCCTTCAAGACACATCCTTCACAGCTAGCAGCTCTTTCAATCATTTACTTTGGATGTCTGCTTGAGAACAAACGATCTTGCTCATGCAGATGAGTTTGCCAGACTTGTGTGTACTTTCCACTCTCAGGCTCTTTATTGTTCTTTCTGAAACCTGACCCTTTGAAATGGATACCAGGACACCAAGAAAGGACAAAAAAACTTGCAGAAAAAAGGAAAAGATTTTTTGTGGCAATAATCAAACTGCAGAAAAAGCTTTCCAAGAACACATCTTTCACTCTGCTTTCACCTGAATGAGCATAATTCAAAAAATTTATTACAAGAGCATGAAGACATTTTTCGTCTCTTAAACTGTTCCATTTTTCTGTAAATTTGACAGCATTATCAAAAACAAGCACTTGTGGCAGTAAAACCTAAAAATCAAGTATCTATTTTTTGTGCTTCATAAGCTGCTCTTTAAGAGCTCTCACTAACAGTCAAAACAAAGTTTGCTTTTCATTTCAAAACACGGTCTGTTCTTTCCTCAAGGTCCAATGAGCTACAGTTCTCAAACGGCATAAACTTACACAGTTCAAAAAAAACTTTTACTTGTGCCTACTGAAAAGTTCACATTCTAGAACATGCTGATTTTTTAGAAAATATCCCATCTTCCTGCTTATTTTCATGCTCCTAATAGAGAATGATTATTTTCAAAAAACAACCTTCAGACTCAAATGTCAGACAACTACTGCACCCTCTTTTTGTTTAAAAAAAAGAAAAAAAAAAAGCTAATTTCTCTGTATGGAAACGCCACCCCTACAGGAACAAAACACATTTTTAAAAAGTTCTGCAAGTTCCACTTTCATTGCAGACAATGTAAGTTTGTTTTTGAAGCTACAGACTCAATTACTTCAATCAGATGCACATATAAATGACAATGTCTACGCAAGAAAGGTAGGGATAAAGATGTTTTTCTTGGCTGAAACAAGTTTTATATAAGTAACACAGTGTTGCCTATCCCGGCCCTGAAAATGACATATAATGGGTTATTTAGAGACTTACAGTTAAATAAAAAGTTTAAAATATAATCAAAATATTTGAGGGCAAATTATGGTCTCAGAAAGAGAAGGACAAGCTCCTGCTGTTTTAGAAAACTGCGCAGAATAAAAGAAAACGCTCCCTTATGGATTAGGTGTCAGATGGCTGGCATGTGTAACCTCTCTTCAGTTATAGAAAAGATGATACTAATTTCACTGTGTGAAAAAGCTACAGCTTTTTTTCATGTAGGAACATGAAACAATGTTACAAGTTCTGTTAATTTCCATTTCACTGCAGAAAATGTAGAGAAGTTACAGACTCAAAGACTGCACTCAAACACATATATTAATTTCCTCATGAATAGAGAGTAGGCAAAAACGTTTTGATTGCGTAGTTACACAACTGTTCTAAATCAAGAGATAAGAAGTCTTGATATACAGTCACTAGAACAGTTTCTAAAGTTACTCTATATTTTTACATCTGTATTATAAAAATAAGGTAAAATGTATCTTGACCTGCATGACAACTCTGACAAGATTCAGCAAATCCAAACGTCACATTGTTTAAAAATCACTATGTGCGCTTCACTGATTGTTAGTAGACAATACAACCGATAACATTCTTCAGCTAAGATTAAGGTAAAATGAATATTCACAGAGTATCATAAAGTTTTTAGATACAGCAGAGAGAAGTACGAAAGTGGTAGGCTCTCCTACTTCAAATTAGGAGCATATTTTTAGAATATTTTAAACACAATGAAATTTACTAAAATTCAAAGACTGTAAAAAAAGTATAAAATATATCCCAACAAGCACCAGAGATTCAGCTAACTGAAAAGAAATTTTACTTACTTAAGAAAGTATCTCTGTCCAGATGGTGTCTTAGCCATCTCCCAGCCTGGTGGCAAAGGTACATCATCAGGGATCTCAAATGAAGACTGGCGGAGATGTTGAGAAGATGGAGCTCCAGGTCCAGTCACTACTCCAGAGGGTGTAAGTGTCCCTGGAGAAACAGCTCCCAGCTGCAGTGATGCTGGAGAGGAATGAGCTCGGACATGCTGTGGGGTTAGGGCTCCTGCTGTCCCTGCATCAGTGCTAGCCTGCCAGGAGTGAAATTATTCCCATTAAAATTCTTATATTTCAGCAGAAATGCAGCTGTCAAATGACATTTCGCTTTAAATGAACCTTTCAGGAGAAATTCTTAAGTCAGTCATTTTAAATTCTGCTTATTTTCCAGTTGATGCCCTTCAAGAGAGCCTCCAAGTAGTCTGGTTAATTAGCATCACAAAAGCCCTAGTGTAAGTCAAGACCTATTACCACTAAGTTTGTGCTAAGCGCCCTTAGTTTTACTTTGAAAACTAAAACTCTTACTCCTTGGTGCAGGGTTCAGAAAAAAAACTGCCCGCAGTCAGCAGACCTCATACACTATAGAGTGGTTCATTACTGGACTGCACCCACTCACCACCATCACACCCGCTTTCTGCTGGAGGAGGTAATTTCCCACCCTTTTTGAAAGAGGGGTGTGGGGGTTCAAGTACACCCACACACAGACCCTCTGTAGGGTTTAAAAGATTATCCAAAGAGAAAAGCAACAGAGAAATGCCAACTGGCAGCAGTGAGGTCCAATGGAGGAAGACTCACGAATTCAACCATAAAGAAAACATATACGAAAATACCGAACACAGAATTTCCTAACAATCCACGCTTTCGAGGGTTTAAAGAGTCTGTCCATACTTTATCCAAAGCAAAGCTTCAGGAAATGGTTGAACCAGTCAATCAGAAGTGATTCACAAAACCATTCACTGGAGCCATCAGTTACAAGCACAAAGAATGTCCTTGCCAGTAGTAAATACAGATCCACCATAGAACAGAAAAGGTAGCTCTGAAGACCTGATTGAAGTAAAAATGGCTTTTTAAAATATATTTGCCAATTAACTGGTTTTATAGATACAGAAGAACAACATGGATACCCATAATGAAATTCATGTATCAGCCCTTGTCACACCTCTCTACACAAGGTATTGCACCATATGTGAGGCCCCACTTACACACTTATGGAGACTGACAATTCTGCTTCAGTCCATCTGTATGCAAGCACACGTGAGCTTCCACGTATTCAACTGGAAATGAATTAGTTTGCATTTACATTTAAAAAAAATACCGAGTAGCAAATCAACTGAATTTGTGGCATCTTGATTCCTGAGAATCAGGGGAAACTGCAGAAAATGAAAGACCTTTTCTTTAAAGAGAATGTTTCTGTGGCGCAACTAAACAAAAAGGAAAGTGAAAATAGTCTTATTTTAAAAGTCCGCAGTGAAGCAAATGATTCTTTGGCTTCAAGTTTATATTTTAACAACCACCGAGTGGTACAAGGAACAGTGATCCAACTAAATATGCATTGCAGATGAAGAGTAACATATACAAAGAAGATAAGGCTAAGCTTAAAAGTGCAAGCTGTAGGAACATCACAGACGTTAAGTGCATGTCAAACACGATAGCTATTTAACTGCAGTTACTGTATTTAACAAGACACAACACCAAGTGTTAGATGAATGTCTACCTATTCAGATTTGTACACAATGGAACTGTGATAAGATTTGCTCAAGTTGGAAAAAGACTGTACATAAAATCCTTTTCCTTTGCTGGAATTCAGTATGTTATTAAAGGTCTGCAACTCAGAAGCTAGCAAAATTACAGAAGCAACTCAGCTCCACTCCTTTCAATTTTCTTTTCAGTCTTGCTATATGAAGGCCAGACTGATTTTTCAAGTATTTGGAAAATGAATTAACTCCTAGGCTGGGAAAGAACGTGCCAAGGTTCAGCCTGGAATGAACTTCAGAAGTCAAGTTATAAACCCTTCAAAACAGAAGTTTAATAATGGAAATGTTGACAGACCCTTAACAACAAGGGTAGCAGGCAACAGTCCACACAGCGAGTTTCACTTTTACTGGCTACACAGATAAAGTGACAATAGCCAATAATAAAACCTATTTTATAGCTTAGCAACAAAGTTCATTACTTAATAACACTCGAGTAGGTAGGCACAGCCTCCTGCCAAAACATTGGTAACAGCGGCCTAAAAGTTAACTTTCAGCTGTATTTACACCAGCATTTAGGTCTTGGCACAGAAGTCCCTCCGCTCGAAGACGAAACGCTCCCGGAGGCCGAGGGACGACCCTGCTCCGCATCCCCCACCGCGCTCCTCCTCCGCCCTGCCCTCCCATCGCCCCTTCCCCCCTCGGCCCTGCCCCGCCCCGCCCCGCCCCACCCCCCCCTTCCCGGCCCTGCCCCGCATCCCTCCCCCGCTCCCTCCTCGGGCCTGCCCCGCATCGCTCCCTCCCTCCCTTCCCCGGGCTAGCACGGCCGAGGCCCCACAGGTCCGAGTCCAGCGACTCCCGGGATGCGAGAGGTGCGCCCGGCCGGACCCTCGACGCCGTCAGACCTGATGTCTGGCTCAGTTTGGAATTAACTTCGGATGTGCGTGCGTCTCTGTGTGGGAGGGTTAATCCTACTCTACCCAGCGCAGTGCCGAAATGGTGGAAAAGCCACATCCATATTGTCTGACGGGGCGGGGGGGGTGTAGGTTTGGCACCGCCTCATCACCCCCCCTCCACAGAAGGCAGGGAATTGGACCGCAGAGAGAAATCCTCCCCGTCTTCCAAGCAAAGCGTTTTCTCCCAAGTTTTAGGGGCTCACCCCCACCGCCGCGGTCCCGGCGAAGCCGAGAAAGCCAAGGAGCGGATGTGGAGTCCGAGGCCCCGCCGGACACCGGGACGGGGCCAGCGCCCGCCCTCCCGCCCGCTGCGGCCCCTGTCCCCGTCCGGATCCCCGTCCAGGTCCCAGCGCGAGAGGCGCGACAGGGGCCGCGCGGCGCCCCCGCTCCTGGCGAAGAACAAATGAAGGGATGGGGGGGACACACTCCTCCGGCGGGCGGCACAGAGCCCCCCGGCAGCCCCGGCCGGGCGCCCCCTGCCCCCCTCGGCCCCGCAGATTCCCGCCCCGGCCCCCTCCCCCATACGCCTCCCGGGAGGCGCTCGGCGGCGGCGGGGAGAGGGAGCTCGGCCGGGCCGTCCCGCCGGCCCCCGCCCGCCCGCGAGCGGCCCCTCCTCCGCTCCCCCTCACCTGGCGGGAGTGGGCCTTGGGCTCGGGCGGCTTGAAGAAGGAGTCGGGCAGTTTCCGCAGCCGCATGGGCAGCGTGTGCGGCACGTTGGCGCCCTTGGGGTTCATTACGGCGTTGAACAGCGCCTCCAAGTCGGTCTCGGAGTCGCCCCGCACATGGACGATCTGGTGCCCCGCCGGAGGGGGCCCCGCGCCCGGGGGCTGCGCCGCGCCGGCCGAGGCCCCCGACACCGCGCCCGGGGGCTGCGGCGGCTGCTGCTGCTGCTGCGGGGCCGGGGGCTGCGCTGCCTGCGGCGGCTGCTGCGGTTGAGGCTGCCCGGGGTCCATGGCTCCGTCAGGACCCCTCGGCACTTCCCTGGCGGGGATCGACGGCTCAGAGCCCGGATTCCCAGCCCCGCATGCCCCGCTCCCCGGGCCGCAGCTCGTCCTTCTGTCGCCGGTACTTTCTCACCCTTCGGTCGGGAGACCGACCCGGCCGCAGCAACTGGCAAAACAACTTTGACCGTGCGGCGCTTCCCCGAGCCTGGCCCAGCCCGGCCGGCGCCTCTGTCCCGGCGGCGGAAACTAACTCACACAACACACCAAACAAAAGTTCGCAGTTACGCCCGCCCGAATCACTCACTCTCGGCCGCCGGCCCCGCCCCTCCTGAGCCCGCCCGCACCGTATCCGACAGAGGCAGCTTGTGCCTCGTCGCGCTTCTGCGCGCGCCCGCCCGCACCGCTTCCCGCATGGGAGGCTCCCGGCGCGGGCCCGCTGCCCGGGACCCCCGCACCCCGCGCCGGACCCGCACCGCACCCGCCTCGGACCGCGTTCGGCCCTCGCCCCTCCGCCTCTCTCTGTGCGCCCGCCCGCACCTCTCCCGGCTGCCGCCCGCCCGCCTGCGGCCGACACGGAGCGGTGCCGCCAACCAGAATTTTTTTTTCTCCCTAACTTCTATCCAACTTCCAGGAGGCCGCTCCGCGAGGGGGTGGGGAGGGGCGGCCGTGCTCGCCTCTCCCCCGGCCCGAAACTGGACATCGGCCTGGGACACCCCCCCCCCCTCCGATCGGCCCCCTCCCGCGCTTTTTCCCGGTCCCGCAGAGCCTGCCCCGCAGTTACGCGCCGTGGGTCTGGCTCATTAAAGGGACGGGACCTTTGGGGAAATGCCTTTTATTAGATAAAACGGGTGAAGGGAGGGGGGCACTGCCAAGAAAACAGCGTCAAGAACTATAAATACAGGAAAACTTTTGTCACTAACTCCGTAGTAACATCTGAGTAAACGTGAAGCACTTCCGAGCCTGTAATCAAGGAGCACATCGTTCCTCGTCAGAAAAGTATGCATTTTCTACCTGAATCCATGCAGAGAGAAGGCCACCTCCATTGTAAAACTGGGGTTCGTAACTAGTTAGCAAATACGCCTCCACCGAAACAGTGATACAGCGTATTCACGTGTCGCTTGCAGGGATCCACAATCAAGTAGGCAAAAGTCTGTTCGTGGCTTTTGCTTGAAGGGTAACATAGGCCATTAGCATCCTGCGAGGAAGTAAAAAAAAGAAAAAACAAAGCAGTATTAGGGACAATATGGATACCCATGAGAAAATTAAGAAAATCTGAATGAAACTGATAATTTGTTCCAATTGATAGCTTATTGCATAGCAAAACAGAACAAATACACCGTAGTTTATTGAAACAGCATTATGTCTCCATGAGAATCCCAACACTACAAAATGCACAGTAGTTCTAGCTGAATGTTTCAAATAACCTTGAGGTAAATGTGATATTAATATAAAATGTAAAAATAAACATGTAAGCATGTGTTTACACAATTATACAAATTACAAATGATTAAATTTACAACAGCCCCATCACGTTTCCTGTGAAAGAGAAAAAAATCATAGACTCTATATTAACACATAAAACTGTTCCATTGTTATAATTTTTTTTTCATTTAACATTTGCTAATGCATCTGTTCAGGTTCAAATATTTGCATTTAAGCAAAACCCGCATTACAGCTCTTTTTAACAATTTAGGACTGTTATTGAAAACATTTTGTGTGCCAGTCCTCAGAAAGGGTTTGAAGGGAGTCTAGGCACCTAGCTTCAAAATACTCATTCTGAAAAAACACTTTCAGCTGACAATCAGCACAGGAACTGGGCTCTTCAGTTTAACATCCTACGTCTGCACATGTCAATAAAAGCTTCAGTGTTGACAGAGCAGCACAGTTTGACACATACTTCAAACCCAGCAGGGATCCAGAAGCTAGATGGGGAGGATTTTTGAAGAGTTGATTTTTTTTATTCAGTCAACGTGGTAATTGAACATCTGAAAGACCAATAAATATGTAGGGACACCTCTTTTCTTTTAAAACATGTAACAGTTCCCTCCTGCTCCCCAACATCTTTATGAAAGAGCTGAAGAGATGTAAGTTCTGTTCCACTTTTTTGCCTGAGGGAAATTGCTATATTGCATATATTGCCCATTTTGTCCAGGAAAATTTTAAACTCCCAGAGTATTCCAGATTAGGGTCACATGTCTCACATTCTTTTGTTGAAGTTGTCTTCCTTTGCATAAAATAATCCATCTCAGTGGTTAAGGCAGTCAAGTTAGAAGGAAAAGTTTTGGGTCCCTGTTTCTGCTCCAAGGACCATTTGTGAATTTTATCCATTAGCTGTTACTGGCACCTCATTTTCTCCTGCTATTTCAAAGAGGATGAACCTCCTACTAGATGTTCTGGTGTCTTCCTTTGGGGGACTATTCAAACTCCTGAACCTTAAGTTAAGCTAAGCACCACCATAAAAGCACTGTTTAAGACAGGTAGAGATTTGATAACGTTTATTCACAGCATTTTCCAATGGTAGTCAAATGCCACAAGCTAAAAATAGTATTCTATTTTTAAGCCAACGCAGCATACAAGCTCTGTAGCTCCAATTGTAAGATGCCTAGCTCTCTTCAGGTGTTTTTTAGGGATACATATGTAACAAACACTGGACTCTCATCTGCAAGTAAGGGGAGAAAGTTTTAAGATTTTACAGTGCTCATCACAATGCCTTTGGAGTTTGATCCAAAAATAACCTAAGCTCATGCACAGAACTGAAGAAGAAAAAGTAAGAGAAGACCAACATGAAGATCTGATTGCTAGCTAAAATCTTTTCCCATTGCTACCAAGGATCCCACTCCTGCACTCCTTATGGAATCAACTGATGCCAGTTGACGTTTTGGCTGTTTAAAGGCAGTGTTAGCCCACTAAAAATTTTTTCAACAAGAACAAAAACTAATTAAGTTCTGGTGATAAGGCATTTCAAGAAACTCCAGAATATACCAAACTTGGTATGAGGAAAATAATAAATATAACTTAATTAAATGAAAAGGGTTTTAAAATTTATTTTAATTAGTAAAAGAGGTCATAAAAACCCTAAAATACTTGAGCACAAAGACTCTGAAATTTACATTCATGCATGTACACAAATTAAGAACCATACCAATTCCATCTGCAGTGTGGACTTTGGTTCAGACATCCAGGGGGTGTAATGATTGATTTATTGATGTACTGTATTTTTTCTTTGTAGCAACACAGATAATCAGCTGATGATTTAAGAATACATATGCACAGCATAATACAGAAATAAAAATACTGCTGAACATTCTCAAAACTGCATAATTTAATCAAGTTTTTTTAAAAAATACTTCTTGAATAAATTCTGCATTATGCTGATTTCTTAACACTGCCACAGTTTGGGTTCAGGTAAAGAAAGTTCAAAAATATCAGTGAGCATCCCAATACTTTAGCTGTAACAGTGTTTCATTATATGCAAAGCCCCAAAGCTTTCAAGGGTATTTGGAGTTCAAGAGAGTACTTTGTCACAAGATCTAAAATTATTTCTCTTGTGGTGCCCAGGTCTACGTCTATCAGGTTTTGATGCTAAACATCACAGCTGCTAATCACGGCTCTACAGACATTTATAACTACACCTTAATACCTTGAACTATTTACATCTCTAATAGTGTGCTTTTTTAGATATTGTTTCCAAAACAAGGGCTTCTTAGCCACATCTTAAAAACCAAACAAAGAGGAAGGGACGGTGTCCGGATGGTGTTATGTAAAGTTCTTAATTCCTCATTCCATTTATACTAGTGCAAATACACATATATATTTATTTGTTCATTTGTTAATCCATCTTGCAAAAATGTGTGTTCTTCTAACTTCTTGTCTGCAGAAGTCACTTTTACCAGAACAGCTTTTTAAAAGTTATTTATTTATTTATATCAGGCTAAGAGGATAAGTCCCCTTCTTCCAGATACAAAACAAGAAAACATGGCTTAAAAACTGTCAGCTCAGCATAAGGATTATAATAACACACTCTACAGTTACTTAGCAAATGAACTCAAACTAAATCTACTGCAGAAATGTAGTTATCTCCTTGAAAGAAACTTTTCATCACAAGCATAAGACATTTGTGCTCCAGTAAGTGTCTTTCCTGTAAGTGCTGACTTGAATAGTTTTGATCCACACAGCCATCAAACAGTCTAGACATACTGTTTAAGCCTTTCTGTATTCCAAGAGAAAATTCTTCAGGATGTTCTTTAATACAAACCATAATTTCAGAATTCTTCACCTCACAAATTTTCAGAATGCACAGCAATGCCCAATTTTCCTCCAAGGCTACAAAGAGGATAGCCTGCTCTGCATTTACACTGGATTTTCTTCTGTCCATACACATTTTTGTTTACAAAAAGTTGCTTTTTTTTCTTCCCTAGTGGTATTTAATGTATGTCTAAGACAGTTAGGGGAACTCTTTAATGTCACCCATCTACCTAAACATAGAAATCTGCAAAGTTCACATCAATGCACTTGATTCAGAGGTGGGTAAAAAACAGTAATAACAGAAGAACATTAAGTTATCAGGGGTTTGTTTTTTTTATTTTATTTTTATTACAGTCTGCAACCTAGTAGAAAGATAAATTTTAATACACCCAAAAAGTGTTTATTTTCGAAAGTCTTTATGAATCACATTTAGTACTTAAAGGTGACGACCCACAGATGAACAACTGGGTTACTGGCAACCTACAGGGAAGTTTGTGCAGTCTGAAATGACATCAGTTACTGCTGTTGAAAGGGGGTACATTATCTGACATTTAATTATTACATATTCTGGTTACTCAAGAAGAATTTGAAGTAGTTAATTCTACTGTAACAAATAACAGATATGCTGAAACTGGTAAACGTGCAGCCAGTTCTCAAACTTATCTTGATGGTAAATATATGATTTTGCAAGGGAAACAAAGAGGAATGAGACTTGACAAGAGAGGGCAAAAGAGGTTAGCAGTCATGTCCAGCCTTTTTGTATACTACACTTCCTTGCAGTCTCTAGAGAAACAGATGCAATGCAAGCTATTCAGAAAGCTCTAGCAACATTTCTGAAAACAGAATATATGAAGTCAAGAGTGCATTCTTAATCCTTACTGCTATCTCAAGTTTTATTATTATCTAAGCCCAGAATTACTCAGATTTTTTTTTTCCATAAACTAGTTTCTGGATGACTATTATGACTTCAAATGTAATCCAGTAAGCCTATTTTTAGTGAGCTACCAAACAAACCTTTAGTTAGTAGTTACTGATGAAGAATTAGTCTAGAGGATGAGAAAGCAGGATGAGATCAGGGAGAGAGTTCATGAATAAAAAAATTACAACTATGGGAAAATAACCCATTACAATGGAATATTATGTTTTCTTTGTCTTAATTTCAATTCATTATTTTCATGCTGTGCATGCAGCTTCCAGTAAAATCCTGTATCAAAACATTATTAATACTTACATATGCAGACACTCTGAAGACTGTAGAAATAATACGTATTTCTTTTGTTTCAGGATTCTTTTGAACACTGAAATACAGGGGAATAATATGTACTTACTATACACTGTAAGTACTGATGATTAGAATCTTTCATTTATTAAATACATTTTAAACACTGCGTCCTCACTCAAATTTTATGAAGGTCAAACTCATCGTTGGGGGATGTTACATTTATAGGGTTAGGAGGAATCACAGAGTAACCAATTAGAAGTCTCAAGGGGCTTACAGGAACACCCAATCACAGGAAGGGGTTAACAAGGACCAATGGGAAACACCTCAGGACACCTTTCCCAGGACATTCCTGCATGGGAGATAACCTGTCCTGGGGGTGTTGGGAAGAAGAAACACGAAACACGTGTTTGCAAAGAGACCACAAAAGGCCATTTTAAGACATGTTTAAACAACAGTTTTTCCCATATAATGCAGGTTTAGTGCCACAGTTAAAATCAACTTATGTCACATTGACCATGGAAAGGTATGTGGCCATTGCTAGATAATGTGGCTATTATGACATTTTACTGAAAAATATTGAGTATATCTAGTCTGAAACTGACCTGGTTTTAGACATAGAATCACAGAATCACAGAATATGCCACGTTGGAAGGGACCCACAGGGATCATTAAGTTCAACTCTTAACCCTGCACAGGACCATCCCCAAGAGCCACATCATGTGACTGAGAGTATCATCCAAATATTTCTTGAACTCTGTCATGCTTGGGGCTGTGACTACTTCCCTGGGGAGCCTGTTCCAGTGCCTAAGCATCCTCTGGGTGAAGAACCTTTTTCTAATATTACAACCTAAACCTCCCCTGAGACAACTTCAGGCCATTCCCTTGGGTCCTGTCACTGGCCACCACAGAGATGAGATCAGTGCCTGCCCTTCCTCTTCCCTTCATGAGGAAGTTGTAAACTGTGATGAGGTCTCCCCTCAATCTCTTCTCCAGGCTGAACAGACCAAGTGACCTCAGCTGCTCCTCATATGGCTTCCCCTCAAGGTCCTTCACCATCTTTGTTGCCCTCCTTTGGACACTCTCTAAGAGGTTAATATCTTTCTTATATTGTGGTGCCCAAAACTGCACACAATATGAGTGAGGCCAGTGCAGAGCAGAGAGGGACTCATGCCCCCCCCAGGACATGCTTGGCCCTCCTGGCTGCCAGGGCACTGCTGACTCATATTCAACTTGCCATCGACCAGGCCCCCCAGGTCCCTCACCGTGGCACTGCTTTCCAGCATCTCATTCCCCAGTCTGTACGTACATACAGGGTTGCCCTGTCTCAGGTGCAAAATCCAGTACTTTCCCTTGTTGAACTTCATGTGGTTGGTGATTGCCCAGTCCTCTAATTTGTCAAGGTTGCTCTGCAGGGCCTCCCTGACTTGGAGGGAGTCAACAGCTCCTTTGAATTTTGTGTCATCTGCAAACTTGCTTAGCATCCCTTCCAGTCTTGCGTCCAAGTCATTTATGAAGAGGTTGAAGAACACGGGGCCCAAAATGCAGCTCTGTGGAACCCCACTACTTTTCACAGTTTTCAACTAATAAATCACAGCAATATTACCCAGATGTTGATGACTCCAGTATAGTTTGCATTTTGATAGCTATGAAAAATTATGCAGCTAAATATTTTGTAAAAATCTTTTCACATATTCTTTGAGGTAAGAAACCTGCAAAGTGAAATGCATCTTAGTACAGACCACAAGAAATAGCAGCAGTACTGGTGAAGAAATGCAGTCTTTAGCTCATTTTTAACTAGTATGTATAGTTTAGGATCATTTTTCTTCCTTTGGAATTTTGTATACATAGTCAGCTATGCAATTTAGGATGGGATTAGTTCCGAATTTTTATATTTCTAGTCTGTGTTATGAAGACTGCTATTTCTTTCATCATGTTTACAAAAAACACTGAGATATCATTGCGAAGAATCCAGGCATCTCAACATATTTTCAATTTAAGTATTTTTAATTTGTTATTTTTCCTCAGCTCTGCTTTAAGTGATGTTTACATTTCTTCAGAAATTAGATCATGTGACTGCTATTAATTTATCTAATTTTGCAGGTTCTTATTTACATTAACTCACTATGGAATAGTTGAGGCTTATAACTTCCATACTTACACACTTCCAAGAAATGCATAGCTCAATACCTGCCTTGTCACAAACAGATTCCATCCCTGGGAAAGGTCCCAATATAAACAAGTTACTAGAATGTATGTTAAACACAGGCCAGTGAAATCACCACACCAGGTCCAAGCTGTGACAGCAGTCCCCTATTACCAGTGCTTCGGCAAAGCTTTTTTTTATAAGAGCAACATCAACCAACATCACCTTTGTTGATTCAGTCCCTCCAGCCAATAAAAGAAATTGACTCTGCAATTAACTGACCCCTGTGGAGTACTTTGTCATGTTTGAACCCATACTGTGAAGATCATCTTCCTTGTGGGGAGTCAGTAACAAGGCTTTCTCAGAACTTTCTGTTGCATCTGTTATGTTGATATACTCAACAGTGGATTGAAAAGCATTGCTGAAATTGGTACTGACCCCAGCTGTCTGCCTTCCCAGCCCTTCAGAGATGACTGTCCCTCGCAGGGACAGCTCAGCTTCTGAACCACTGCAGTTTACAGACCAGCATATTAAGACAAACTAACATAGATGTCAGTTTATGCTAACATACTAGGCTGGAAGCTACAGCATTTCAGAAACTGTTTAACCATCTCTGTGGAAAGAGTGACAACTTTCAGAACAAGATATAGAGAGTTAGTGGGGTTATCGCTTTCTACCATATATTACCACCCCCAAAAGCTACAGTTCTAAGTTACTCTGTCTTCAGATTCTTCTCTGAAAATCAGGCTACCACTTTCTGGTTTCATATATGTAGGATATCAAAGTACGAGGTGACAAAGAATAAGTTTTTCTATTTATTCCACTGCCTTGAGAAATCTTCCCCTTGTGGTTAGCTTCCTGTAAGTAATTTTTCAGGATGAGTGTTTATTTCTAGCACTTTGGTTATTTTTTTAAGGCAAAAAATTGTGTCTGTGAAAATCAGATAGATTCTTCATTTGTTGACTTGAAAGAAACCAGGACATTGCCTTTAATGAGCCCGTTTGCCCCATTTCTTTTTTTTTTCCCCTAAAAGGTTTTAGAAAAAACCATGTTGTCTTCTTGAAGAGGACAGTATTAATAGTCCCACGTTCTTCCAAATTTAAACGTCTAAACTATTCATTGAATATGGTAGTTCATCACTTTAATGTGCATCTATTCTATTTTTATGAAGAGCAAACATCTTCATGGTTTCTCAATACCCTTTGGGATTTATTAATACCCTAAGCTTACCAGCAGTATTTTATTAGGCTCTCCAAATAATAAAAGAACAACTTAATGCCTTCAAATACATTCATTCATTATGGGGGAAAGGGCATGGAGATGGAGATGAAGCAAGGAGAAGAAAACACTGACTACAAGATATCACAGCAGCTGTCACCATTGACAGACACTGTCAGAAAAATCTGGGGTTAAGTACAGAAGACAAGATTTATCAACAAAGATTCATTATTTAAATTAACAAATTTTTGTTGTGTAAGTATATTCTTTAACCAAATCAAAATACTACAAGAAATTCTGAACCATTTAGGTTACACAGGATATTACACTAAACACTAGAATTTTGGATGGATTCAACTGGTCACAGACTATTTATGAATGGATTAGTAACAGACTACAAGTTGTGCATTAATTCATTAGTAAGAAAATATCACTTTTTTTGCAAAGAAGAAAATATCTGCCATTTAATAATTGTATCTGGAAGTCCCTAGCAGTACTTGTAAAATATCTAGATCTCCTAATTTCAAAAAGATTATTGCATTTTCTCATAATAAAGCTATACACATGGAAATGCTTTAATAAAACAAAATCTCAAACCTTTTGATACTATTTCGAATGCCAGTGCCTTGGAGTTAGAACTTAGGAAAGGCCAGAAAAAACTGTTGTAATAAAGATAAGTAAGGAAAAGCTCATAGGCCTGCTGCTCCTAGCAGTAAAGACACTTGTGTAACTCTTCATGCCAAGGCTCTTTTCCATAAGGAATACTGTTACAGGACTGAACAGTGGTAGTTTATACCTCTATAAGCTTATTGTTATTGGTCTGAGTTCATCTGTGGCAGCTAATTTTTCAGTGCACATCACCTAGCAGCTAATAATTATTTTAGTATCCATTTGTTTTTTACCAAGCCTTCTTAGCTTTCAAATATAAAAATTCAAAATTAAACCTTAAGGAGAGCACAGTTTACAGAATTTTTAATACCACAAAAGGTTTTTAATATCACTTTAAAAGAGTAGAAAGTATCCAATGTGACCATAATCTAAGATGAAAAGAAACCAGACAGAGGACAGCAGTCAAAAAGGAATTTAAAGGACAGTTAGTATTCAACAGGAATTTGAAGGTGAACTCTTTGGAAAACAATTTAAGCAATTACTACTGTCATTAGCAGTTGTTTACTGAAAATAAAAGGCTATGAGCAGGTAATTTTCATTGCATTATTTTCTGGTGAATTTGTACAAAAATGAAGTAACACAGCGCCTAGCATGGACTAGAAATTAGAAATTAAGTCAAGACTGTCATTAGTGGTCATCTTCACAGCCTTTCAGTGGCTTTTTCTCTCTTAAGATGGTGGAAATAAAACAGTAGCATCATTTTGGTAACCTGGGGACAGGGAGAAATAAGACCAAAAAAAAGACAACCATGATTGTGAAGGGGGAGGGAAGGTCTGAAATGTCAAGATCAAAAACTTCTCTCATGGTAGTGACAGAGAACTTAATATCAAAGGACAAAGAAAAAAGATTTAGTTAAATTTTAAATTTCTTTTTCAACTGGTATTGAGTGTTAACACCAGCTCCTCTGGCAGTGAGAAACCAGCAGACATTTATAGGCACAGAAATGGAGAGGCACATGGTAGATAAATACTGAAGATCAGTTATCTCACATGAACTGAGTAGATGTATTTCAAAACTTCAGAGGATAGAAAGCAATCTGCCAACTGAGAAAAAAAAAAGACAAAAACAAACAGCAGAGGAATGGATCTTGAAATATTTTCTCCTAATATTGTATAAAGGACAGAAGTAGCACACAAGAGGAAAATCACAGAAATATATAAAGGGTCAATAGGTTGAGGATACAGAAAAAGTACACCTTGAAAGCAGGATGAAACTGTGGGAAGATCTTGGCAGATGCTTTTTTTTGTTTTAAGTAACAAGACCTACTTGACATCCTTATCAAATTTTACAGCATAAAAAAGAAAAAGAATGGGAAGATATTTAAGGAGATAGGAAGGTAAAGAAAATGAGTGGCTTAGAACAGAACTTGAACATGTTTAGGATAAAACAATTCAACAGCAAAGGGAAGCAGTAAAGGGAAGGAACTGATTGGATTTGCAGTTTGTCCTAGATCAGTTCAACAACACCTGAGCAGAAACAGCTGCAGGCAATGCAGAGTCAACTAAGGCCCACGATTAAAGTAACAAGCAGCTTCATTCAAGTGCAGAGTGAGCAATTTAAAAGAAAAGGGAGGGTAGCGTTTAAGCATTCATGGATGATTTTTCTGTCACATGCAGTACTTCTGAAGAACCCACTTGATTTCCATCTATATATGATATGAAAATACAAAAACTAATCATACTAATAAAAAATTTAGTAATATCTTTGACAATCTCTATATTCCCATTGCTTAACTAGGAATGAGTCTGCATAACCTATAACTACATTCCGTATCCCACTAACCAGGGAATAACAAGTTTTGTCCATCGGAGAAGTCAGCATATGGATATATGAAAACAAAATTGCCTTTTTATTCTGAATCTGAATGTCTGAACAACCACCCTTAATTTCAAGGAAAAGAAACCCTCACGTAAAATTCCAAACAATTCCATACACCAGACCTGGCAAAAAATATATGTTAGTCCACTGTGTCATGTTAACAGCCAGATTCTATCACCCTTAGCATTACACTGGGAGAAGTGTATTTGCCAAATTAGGAAGGCCAAAATCCAAGTGTATTACAAAAAAATTTCAAAAAAAAATCAGCAGGAATAAAATATATACAGAAACAAAATTTTCAACTAATTATTTCAATTTCTAAATTCTAAATCAAAAGCAGTCCAATGGAAAGTAGTCTAAAACTAGACAGCCAAGACTTAATTGTTGATATTTTATCAATGACAGTGGGAATACAATCTGTTTCCAGTACCATGCCATGTTTTCAATAGATGATTGCAAAAAAAAAGTATCCTTAAAATGGCAGCGAATTATAAACCATCTATGTCCATAACTGTTATATAAAAAGAGTTTTTATGTGGGACAGATGTGATTAAAATTGCATATATTTTGCACTGAACTAATCCTGTTGTTACATGGTATTTTGATGGTCGAAGCCAAATAAGCTTACAGGTGGATTAAATAACAGCTCCATTTTTGAAGCAGCAGTGCACAATAAATTTACACAAATCGACACAAAGTATCTCTGCACAGCACATACATACACGGTTGTATAAAACAGAATAACACTTACCTCACCAAGTCTTTATAAAAAGCTTTCGTAGTTTCTAAGTATGGGTCAACTACATCTTCAAACTGGCAAAGAGTTCCTCCGATGCAAAAATGCTTAAAAAGACAGAACAGAAATTCCTCGCGATCCAATTGACTGAATAAGTCATAATGGTCAGAATCCTCCAGAAGCAAGACCTTGTAGAACAAGAAAAAACCAAGGAAGTCAAATTGATAAAAATTGCTTATTTGAGATTAATTTTATAAACAATGCAACTATTTTGCTGTATGGCACACAGAAATTATGGCCATATAAAATATAGGAACTAGGGATGGAAATACATATTTCTCTATAAATGCTTCTTCCGGTGATGCAATTATGTTCAAAATTCTCACATAAAATATAAACCAGAATCACTGTCAGATTTGTGTCCAAAAGACATAAGGGAATATTTTTCACGTCTTGTTGCTTCACTGATTATTTATTTGTCATGCTAGTGAAACAATCAATAATCTGAAAACAATCTAACTATATTTGGGGTGTGAACCACTGCCAAACAGTTAGGTTTTGGTAACTTTGCCAACACTTGCATTTTCACTCTTAGATTGACACAGTTATTTCATATTTGTAAAAGAATCCTGAGGATCTCCCAGAGGAGATCACTTAAACTCACATCATGCTTTACTGCAGACTCCAGTGAGCCTTAATCTGTAGGCTGGATTAACCAGACATGCTCTCCACCTGCCTCTATGTGTCTCACCTGCCTTTTGCTGAGATATTATGTGAACACAGAGGACTTGCTAAATTAGTCCCAACACTGCACACTGTAAATGTGGACAGGACAATCCCAATGGCTACAAGACATTTGAGTCATGTCAGCCAAACTGCAGATGCCAGCCCAGGCAAACTGGTCAAAGCTAGACATGAGCCTACTGCTCTCTGGCCCTCTTTATAACACAGTCTGAGTAAAAAGGGGTCAGGGTAACAACTGTTCTGGATGGCCACTTCATATATATCCCAACCCCCTTCTTGGCTGAAGCAAGAGAAGACAAGGCAGGTAGGAAAGAAACATGGAGCCTTGCAGCTGAGGGCCACCCTCTGACACCAGGAGACAGTTTGGTGCCCCCTACAGTCTTCTGTCTTAGAGCCCTGGCTAATTTAATTTGAAGTTTTGATGTCATTCCTGGAAGATTTTTACTCTTATTCTTTCTGCTGTCTTACTACAAGTAGGAATCTCATTTGTTTCAAACCAATGTGAAAACCTCAATTTGCAAATGCTGACACACACATCCCTTCCATGGGAAGGAAAATGGGAAGACATTGAAACCCCAATGATTTCTAATTTTAAATGTTGCCTCTAACTTTCCTACATACAATATACTTAATTTTCAGAAAATATTTCACATGTACCCAGCTTATAAGTAAATACATAGTATTTTGAACTGCTAGGCTACAAACCACATCTGAAATTTAAACATGAGCTTGAGTTCTCACCTTTTCCCAGAACTTTACAAGACAGACCAGTATTTCAGGCCACATCCTGTAACCAGTGTCACTGGTTCAAATACATTGCCTTCAAAGGATTTGCCAAGTGCAAATGAGTGCAACTCTATAATTATTAAGTACTTATGCTGATTATATATACAAGGAAGAGCAAAATCCAGTTCTCCCACACTATGCTTTGCTAATGCTAAACAAACTAAAGTTTAAAAAATTGGTTTAGCTTAGTTTATGAAGTCAAAAGAAACACAATAAAGACATACATTGATGCCACTGCTAGATTCTTTTCCAGAATAATCTGCTTTCTGACACCTCCACTACAGTATAACAAAGTTTTTACATTGCAGGCCTGTTCAGGAGTTATATTTAGTCCCCCTCCAGTGTTACACTGAAAAATAATTTCCTTTTTCACAGTTTCCTCTTCGTTTTAGTGAAAATTTATGAAGATGACTTTCTTTAAATGTCTTCACATATGATATGGTCAACACCCCTGGCCAAGAATGCTTCAGGATGTAACTATCAAATACACTCAATCTCATCAACTACCTGGAAGGCTGGGTGAACCTACAGCTTTGAATATCAGAGAACCTTCCCTTTGGCATCCCTTGTTTCCCCCTCCTAAGCAAATGAATATCTACATTTCCCCACATACACACACACCCAAGGACTGACTACTTGAGACACAGGTGGGCAGGTTTTCCCTTTTTCTCCCAAATAAGAAGGAAAGAGGGCCCACCTGGAAAACAGTCCCTGCTTTCACACATTTAGGCAATGTACTGCCTCAATTGTTTCAAAAACATGGCTATCAATGTGACCTTATGGTACCTAACAGAGTATGAAAAATTATAATAAATTATTCATTACTATACTGACCTTCCTTAATTCATCAGAGATAAGAATATCATCATAATAGTCATCGTAACATTTCACAATATCTCCAGTTTCTCTAACAACTCCTTCACAGTACAGCCGATCAAAAAATGACATGGAAATCTGTGTACAAGGTACCACTGTAGCTTCAATTTTTGTCACTTTAGAACCTGGAATATATAGGAAGCTGGTTGCATGTTTCATATGCTTTAAAAAAACACAGATCACATAAGTATGACTCAATCACACAGACCCTCCAAAAAGCCAAAGAAAGGTAAGAAAAAAACAAGTGTAAAGAAAACATTAAATTCATCTGAATACCACCTTCCATTAAGGCTCATGTGTTTGCTCCCTCTGTCGGTAAATACTATCAATCGAAACTAGGAATAGATGGAACACTGTGAACTCAACATCATGTTAGATCACACCCTTAGAAAAATCATATTCCACAGCTTAACCCTTAAAGAATCTAAGGACAGCTGCCAAATTTGGCATGATGAGGTACAAAAGTCAACAGCTGCTAACAGCACCCCACAATGTAAAAACCAAAATGAACACAGCCCCAACAAATTTTTTATTTGTTAAGTATTATATCTGAACTTTGTGAAAAGCTTTATTAACCAGCTATTTCAGAAAATGAAAAAGGTACTCTCAATGTTTCCCGTATGAATCTGAAGTATTATCTCTGTAATCATTAAATGCAGGGTATATATTTTTCTATATTTTTTTTCCCTTTGCTTGCAAGTCATCCAAGGCCAGTCCTGTTGCTCATAGACATCTGAACCATTTGAGATGCCCTACAGTATTTTCCTTAATGAGGTATCAGTCTAGAAGGGCACATCTCTACATACAGTGTTACATCTACAAATCTGTATGCATGGTGTTGGATAACTTATGGCACCTTAAATAGCATTAGACCCCATGTTTGAGAAGCTTTGGACTCAGTCCAGTTCTGTGTGCTCTCTACAGTCCAAGTGTTCAGAACATATTCTCTATCCATCTCGTAAGTCCACCTGAACACCCTGCAAAGTGCTTCTGAACAGGAGAGGGGAGGAGCGCGTGAGTGAGGTGCAACACAAGGGCAGTGTGTCTGAGCAGACAGAATATTCACAGCATTCCAGCTGTCCATGAGTTTACTCTTATCTATTCTCCTCTGTAGGTTCCCTTCATTGGAGACTGGTCAACAACATCACAGTATCAAAAGGCTTTTTACCATACAATTAAAGATAAAATTCAGTTGTGTCCTGACAAACTGACCTAAAGGATCACTAAGGACTACTATTTGGGAAATGTCCAGATTTCCCTCTAGATGACAGTATTTCAGGAAAAGAAACATGCCAAAAAGGGGTGTATGAACCAGGATGCTTCCAAGAGCACCTACCATTTCATTTCGACCCTCATCTTTGCAAGCATAGCATAACCTAAAATTTCTCTTGCTCACACAGTTCCAGAAAGCCCTTGGGATTTCTGCCATATACTTACATGGAGACTATTTATTCATAGGTTAAGTAGGACTGGCATTTTAATATCTAAACCCAGGTAAACTGTACCACCTACCTGATCAACACTAGGAAAAAAATTAGAGAGAAGTTAAAAGCTGATGGCTTGAAAATGTGCCTACTTAAGCTAAAATACTGACATGAAATTTTATAATTATTTTACCATACCAATGTGATGTAAAGAAAATCAGCTATAGACATTTAATTGCTTGGCTTCACATGTACAGATTATGAAAAAGAGTACCTTTTATTAAAGAAAAAAAGTTTAGGACATTCTCCTACCTGTCCACGTAGTGACTATCAAACAATAATGAAATTATGTAACCAAAAACACAAGTCAGAAAAAAATATTAATTACAGCCTCACAACCTAAGAAAACAACCAAACTGATTTATATTTACTTATTCATCCTTCTTCCCACCCCCTCAGTTCCAGCTTCCTCTAACTTTTAATTATCCAGCTTCCTTTCACAGGGATAGAATTTTTATTTTATAAGGGATTTAATATGAGCCAAATCAGCCCTTAACAGGCTGATTTTGTAAATACCTATGAATTAAAAACTGAGTCAACTAATAAAAATCAGATGTTAAATGACTTGAGAAAAATGAAAAATCTTACATTTTCCCAGTTATTGAGCTAAAAGTATAAGAAACTGAACTATTTATAGGCCTCGAATTGTAAGGATTTTTCTGAAAAAAGATTTTATGAAAACTTTGATCAGGTAAAAAAAAATCCAGAGCTTTGTAATCTGTTCAGTAATTCAGAAAACTGAACTATAAATGGAAAAGTTTAAATACACTGGAAGCTACCTAGTCTCCATTTGAGAGGTGAGATTTGAAATTGGAGATTCCAAATTTCCTAGAAAAGAGTGACTAGTTTTAATAATGCTGTAAAAGTGAGCAATAAAATAGGAAGAAGAAATGCCTTGACAACTCTGCAAGTGGAAAACAAAGAGCTGAGAAGTCCTGAAGTCATTTAAGCTTCTTATAACAGCCAGCTCTGGAGCATCTATAAAGTGTTGCCAATATAATTTTAAATGAACATGCTGCATATCTAGTAGGGGGCAGACAAACCCTGGACTAGGTATATTTAGAATTCCTCCAAAATCTAACTCGGGTTTTTACTTCAGAAAAACATCTTGCAATTTACTGTTTACAAAACAGGTTATATATACTGCAAGTTCAGTGCTTAGAATTAAAAATAGGCTATTTCAAAAGTAAAAGGTGCAGGTTGATGATTTATAGGTTCAAATGACATCTACATTTTGTTGGCAAGTTATAACCTATAACTGTAGTCTAAAATATTGCTGATTTAAGATTATAATTCAGATTTTAAAAAGCCATTCCAAAGACAGAAATCGTTGAAGCTTCAAGTACATATGGGAACTCAAGAATCTTTTTTTAGGCAAATACTAAATTTTTATTTACACAAAAAGACCATAACCCTACCCCTTTGAAGATAAGTTTTCAAGTGTTAATTGAGCTTAAGCAGACACAGTCCTGCCTCCCCAAGACTGCTGACAGGTGCAAGGCCAGCAATGCGTCCAAGGAAAAACTACTATTTAGTTCTCACTGCAGCTATTTCAAACACACAAGACTCAAGACATAAATTGGTATGCATCAAATTTGTTCCTTTAGCTGCTTCTATTTTTGAAATATCACAGTAGCCCATGAAGAGGTGGCTTAAAGCACATGTCAGAACGATCAGGTACTGTGCCATGCAGCCAGGAGGAGGGGAAAAATATCCCTACTACAAGAGGCAAAAAGTGTGGTGTGAGAATAGGACAGTATCTTTCTGATCAGATCAAGCAGACTAGAGTACATCCTTGTGTATAATTTACCTAAAATGCTTTATTTCAAGCAATGTTAAAGCTGGAGTCCTTGAGACAATGTATAATTATGGATTCTACCAGGAAAAAACACATTCTTAGTGAGAAGGTGCAAGGGGACTACATCCTCAAAAAAGACAAAGTTATTATGAAAACAAACACTACTGTTATATTGATGATTTATATAATGCTGACATCTTTCTGTGGGTCCATAAATACTTGCTGCTCAAGCTCATGGAGGAGAGAAGGGAAGTTTCTAAGGATCTATCTAGACCTGACTTATATTATGCATCCAAACTACTTCCCCTCTGAAAAAAAACCCTAACATTTTTGTTTGCAAGAGAATAAATACAGTATCTCAATTAACCTAGATTATGTAATTTTTCCTCAGATATTCTAAAAAGCAAAATAAGCCCATTTCCAGCATTTTTCAGGAACAGGAATGTGTTTTTAAAAGAGTTACTCCACAGTGATAAGTAAATGATAAATCTGCATTAATATATCAGCATGTTTGAAGAAGAAAATACTAGAAGATGATTTTTACCTCCTCCCACTCACAGTAAATTCTTACTATATTTTCAAAAAATGCACATGAAGACTAAGTATAGAAGAATGAGCCAACATTCCTCACCAAAAATAGGCAAAGAATGGGAAGATGAAATTTTAAGAGCAAATGGGGTATACCAGCTGTTCAGGATTTAGAAAGGGAACCCTTCCAGTCCTTAGAACAAAATGCACTACTTCTGCAGAGGAAGACTGAGCAGAATTGGGAGTTAAGCTGAGATACTTGGCAAGTGACCCTCTTAACATAAGGTATGTAACCTACTGACCTTCACTGCAGGGACTGGCAAGTCATAGGCTAGACAGATAGCCTAAAAAAATTCTTGCCTAAAGCAGGAAAAGGTTTACCCAACAGTTTGAAATATATCTATTTTTTTCCTGCTTGCCAGAGTGAGAAAGAGGTACCTGAAGGGGTACTTGAGATATTTTTTGCATCTTTTTATTTCAATTTTTTAACAGTTGGATGTAGTGTTTGGAAAATGGATTTTAACTGAACAAAAGGGTGGCAATGTCTAGTGTTATTGTATATAGTGGGAAAAATCTATGCCAATTTCAGAGAGCTGAAATGGAAAAGTTAGAAAATTCCCAAAGCTCCATTAAATATTTACACACAGTAAAGTATTTGCAGACAAACCAAAAGAAATTAGGACTTCCCACTATCCCCTTTTAAAATATTCTTATTATGGAAAACTGCTTCGGCAATACCAGAGATCACATTATGCACAAAATCTCACTACATTATCACATGCAATTGCTGTGAAATTTTAAGTGTTATTTACACAACGAAGAACACATTTCACAGTGGTGCCATAAATTTGCTATTTGATTTTAGCCTTTCTGCTTTAGTGTCTCATCTATATCTATAGACGTAACTGAGTGTTTTAAGTAGTTTCTGATATGGCAACAAACTAGAAGTCAACCTCATGGCATGACTGCACCTGGAGCAACCTATGACATGGGGCTCTTCTGCGCCTTGATCACCTCTGTTGTGCAGACAGCAGATTTACACGAGCTCGGAGGTGTGCTCTACCTAACCCGCTCCTCTCTCAACTTTAATTTGTAACAGAGCAATACTCTCAGATCTGTCCAGTAAGGTTGTTGCATCTATAGAAAAATGCCTTTCTCCAAACATTATCTGAATAATTAATGCAGTTGATTTTGTCTGGATACGTGGTCAGGTCAACCAGATGTCACAGACCATTCAGAAACAGTTCTAGGTGCTTGGTTTATGAATGATGCAGGGAACGAGGGAAAAAAAAGAGTAAAATGTGACAATTTAGTAACAGACAAGACACCAATCTTTTCTTTTAGTAAAAAAGTCATTCTTTAAGGTATTTGAACCAGGTGAGAATACACATATATGAACTGTTGTTATTAGAAAATGGCAAATTAGAGCAAAATAGTTACAACACAGACTTTTTTAGTTAAGACTAATTTATTCTAAATTTACCCAATGTAGTCCACTGTCCTGAAGCTGACAGCAACTTTAAATTGGAGTTCACGTTTTGATCATTAAAAAATGCCTACAATATTCAAATAAGAGAATACCAGTTAATGAAATGAAACATAAAATCATCATTTATAGTGGCTTGAACATTTTCAAAGCAAATTATAAGGCTCCAATTCCAACAGTAGATTCTGTATGATCTTTCAGTTTGGATGCCACCAAATCCATGCTTTTGTAACTTTGTGTAGCCAGTGTCTTTTATACATTCAAGATATATTCAGGTGCACATTTATATATGCAGTATTAAAGTTTTACAGTAAAGCACTTTTAGTCCAGGAATACACAAAAAAGCTGTATGAAATTCTCAGAGGTACAGAAAAGTGAGGAAGAGATGAGACAGTTCTACCTCTTTATGCAATGTCATTGAAGTTAAAAATTAAATGCTAAGTAGGATTTTAAAATTTGCACTTTTCAAATAAATTCAAATCTTGGAGAAGTGTAGAGACACAAAAATTATTAAACAGATACAGAAGAGATCTATAAGTTATTGATAGTGTGGAGAAGATGTTCCACATTAAGATTTGAAGTATTCAATCTTATTATCACTTAAGAAAGGAGACATGCATAGAAATGTTGGTAGCTGGCAAGTTTAAATGACAGATAAGGCAACTGAGAAAACCACACTTACATACATGTATACAAGCAGTGGGAATAATCGTTGAAGAAGCTGCTATGAAAATGATGGATTTTTCAGTCTCTGCATCACCAAATCTCTTTACCACCCCTCAGGGATACAGAGAGATCAGACAATATAATGTAATGATCCTTTTTCCCCCCAATTACTTCACAGCTATTCAGATTTCATCCATTCATAGTGATATCTTTACATTTTAATTAAAAAGATTCAAGCATTGAGAAGGCAAATGTGTATTTTGAAAACTTCAATAATTTGAGGTTCAATAAATTGAAATTTTTATCAGTGGGAGATGAAATATTGGTGCATTTCTGTGTGACTTTCTTTAAAATACAAAAAGGCTAAATTCTTTATTCACGATAACAATATAAAGTAGAAGTATAATAAATTAAAACCACAAGTGCTTTTGAGGGTTTTTTTTCTGTCTGCAAATAGATACACAGATTTGATTTTGCAGACAAGAGAAGTGAAGGACACAAAATCAGTATGAGACTTGAGTCTCAAAAAAGCTAAAAGTTCAAACTTCCAGTATAAAGCAATGGTACCCATTAATTTTCAAAAAATTATATCTCCAGATATGTGGTGCACATGCACATCTAATTGCCCAGTGTAGTTACTGTGACAAAGCCATAGCAGCTGAGAGCAAGGGTACCACCTGTGTATATACTGTTTAAAGTCACACCCTGGGTGGACTTCCCAATATTAAATGCTGTGGCCAAGATCAGCTCCAGTTCAGATTTGCATTCTTGGGAAACCTGAATGACTAAATTGTTCCCTCTTATAGCAGAGTAACAGTAGTACAGACTAAAATATTTTTACTGGACAATACAGTTAACTCACAAAGTAAGACTTGAGCACTACACCTATTTTCAAGGAGACAGTGAGCAGGCCAAAAGCATGCAACACTGGTACTGTTTCCTGTTATGCAGTTTTCCATTAGCTATAATTTCATGGAAGGAAAAAAAAGTCAATTTAAAATACAAAGGACTTAGAGCTACCATAACAAATTCATCCTTTTGATAGGGCTTAAACTGCTGGTCAAAACCGAATGCTTGTGCTGTGATCCTGCCTTGCATGGACCTGAAATGGAAAAATGAGATTAAATATTCTGCAGACACACTAAGAACTCATTCTGCAAATACTAAGAACTCTACTCTGCAAATTTGTTAAGTTAACCACATAAAGCCCTATTCTGACCAATAATTGTAGGGGTTTGTTTGTTTTGGTTTTGCTTTTCATTCTCAGTTATAGGAGTTTCCCATCCCCTCCGCCCCCACACTTTGGAGGGCTCAGGCTGCATCAGAGCAACGCTGCGAAGCTGAAATAGATCTTGGCTCACTCTGGAAGGCGAGGACAGATGCCTCGCACCTCAGAAGGAGTGGTTTGCGTGCCTGGAAAATATCAAGAAGACTTCAGATTAAGAAGTGGGGGAATAAACGGGAGGAGAAATTCAAAGAACAAAAAAGGAAAACAGAGAGACACGGATCCACGCCACTGGAGCGGGAGCCCTGAAGGCGAGGTGAGGACTCCAGCCCTCAGCACCGCCTGCCTGTTCCCCGCCGCCCGCCGCTCCCTGCTGCCCCTAGCCAGACGCCTCTCGCAGCGGGCTTTCCTCCTCCCACCATTTGAGGAGGCGATCCTCGATGTCCCTGTCCTGCAGGCAAGAGAAGGATTTCTGTGACAGGGCCCGGAACACGAAGCCCGCCCCGCCGCGCCGACCCGCGGCCGACATCTTCCCGCGGCCTGGCGGTTGCCGTGGAGACGGCGCCGCTCCGGCGCGGAGCTCGATCCCGCTCACAAGCGTTCCGCCACCCGCGAGGGCCGCCGGACGCGGCCGTCCCCCTTTTCTTTGGCTTTTACCTATAAAACCCACTAGTTCAACACCAGCCTTCTCCCCCCTCCCCTCTGTTCCTGTCTTTGCGCCAGGAAAGGCTTGCCAAGGGAGAGCCCAACAGGCAGGGGCGGGGGCTGCCATTGCTGCCTCTGCCAAAGCCACCTCAGTAACGTAAGACCAAAACCTATTAGGAAAAGCCCAAAGTTATGCATTATGAACCTCTAATGAATCAGCGTTGCTTCTTGCTTCCCAGGATGCTGAGCAGCTTGGGAATAGCAGAGCTGTGCATTTGAACTCTTCCCAGTCGAAATTAAAGGAGAGCATATTCTTACTTAAGGAAAATATTTCTTAAAGTGTAGTAAAGCAAGGGACACCTTGCAAAGTTTGGGCAATTTCCTGGCCTTTGCAGGGAAAGCAGTGAGAGTTTAAGGTTGCTGCACATCTCATGCTATATCCTTCAGCAGCTCACCCACTCCCAAACCCGCCCTTGCTTTACTGCAGATTTCCAAAAAATGGCGTTTTCCCATTAACCTACTGCTCAGGCTGAACAGCAGCCCCATTTCTAAGGAAAAAAAGAAAAAGCAGAATAGAGAGAAACACGGACCCGCCATCACCAGAGCAGGAGCCTTGAGGGTGTGGTGATGACTCCAGCCCTCAGCACCCTCTGCCTGTTCCCCCGCCACCTCTAGGAGTGGTTCTGTTGGTTTCTAATAAAAAAAAACTTAATCACATTCAATTTGATTAGAAAGCAGAAGAGAAAGGTGCAGCATGCCACGACAGTGGGGAGCCAAGATGAAACTGCTGCCACACACACCCTGGTCTCATTGCCCTCTAAAAGATGTCCCACAGATTTAATTTGTAAGACATGTTCATCAAACAGGCTTGTACCAAAGCAATCCAGAAGAAATTGATATAATAAGCCTATGAAGGAGCCCTGTTTTAACATAGTTTCAGTAGAATTCATTGCTCACTTCATACTCACTACATTTTCTAACAGTGCAGCGAGCTGTAGTTCAGCAGATCACATTGCTGTGTAGCAGTTATGTATGTGAGATTTAAGGAGCCATTCCTCTCTATCTTCTCCATTCTGTTTTTTCCAAGTTCCCATTTTTCCCATTTTTCCCATTTTTCCAAGTTCCATTTTTTTCACCTGATAATTTTTGCTTACACCTAAGCAATGATAGAAAATAAAGCTACGCTATACTTCAGGATGTTTAAATGGTAGAGATAGTTCAAGAAGGGATGAAGAAAAAGTGTGCCTTTCTTCTCAGTTTTTAAATATGATATAGAGTGGTGGCACCAGAAACTAATTACTATAACCTTATTCTCAACACATCTCCACCTACTCCAGCACTACCCCATCTGTTAAATTCCTCTTGCCACTAATACTGCTAGCCAGAGATTAAATAGCCAAAGTGAAAGAACTGGTTTGGGCAGGGAGTGATGTGTAGCAACAACTGCCAAACACATAAATTCTTAATTTCGAATACAGATTTAAAAAAAACACCAGAAAACAAAAAACAACCAAAACTTTAGGTCTTTGTGGGCAAAAAATTCTACTGACTTTAGTAGGGATTTGCTCTGGTTAAAGTGTTGAATCAACTAGCACATGCTTAAACCCCACTGAAATCTAGAGTGTTTAAACACTTTGATGAATCAGGAGAAAGGAAATGAGCAAGGACTTCAGGATTGGCCCAGAGGGATCAGGGCAGGAAACTCTAAACTGTGGAATTAATTTCTTTAAAGCTGTGCCATTTACCTATCATAGTTTATGATTCAATAGTTCCAGTTTAAGCAGTACACAACAATAAAAGTTAAACTGGGACTTTCAGTTTAAACACTGACCTCATTATCCTCTGATGTCATGAACAACAGCCTGAAGTAAAAAGTCAGGCACAGTACTCTTTTAAACACAGACACTAAACTTGTTTTTTAAAATGTTAAGGATTTTGTCTTTTCACAGAAGACATTTGAAGGGTGGAAAACATATTTTTCTGCCATAGAATGAAGTCTGGTAGGTATATATTATTAAGCAATAGTAGTCCCTTCCTTTTGAGCAGACTGATTTTCAGCATTGTTTGTTTTTCACGTATTTACTTATGTGTGATTTTGAAGAGTTTTAAAGTCCTGAATAATCTGTAGGCCTTAAGTGCAAAGTAAACAAGCCAGCCTTTCCATGGCAAACAAAAATCAAATTACAGAGGACCAGCCCTGTTGCACCTTTTCGAAGTGCATCAGTCTTTAAGGCAAAGGTCAGCTGGTGACAGAGCAGCAGCCCATTCCAGTCGGGGGAGGTAGTGAAGAACCTGAATGGCAGCTCCTCCCTCCCTCCCTCCTGCAGAAGTCTTCAGCATAGCTGAGGGATAGTTAAGCCACGTGAATTAGCCAAATGGAGGAGGAAAGGGAAAATTATCACTATATATATTCATCTGTGATATAAATTAGCCTGTCCAGTGTTAAAATACTATAAGATAAGTCTGATGGAGAGTAAATTAAAGTCCACATCCTGCATCTTATCTGTAGTGAAGGCTAGAACTACCCAGCATAGAAGGCACTGTGAAGTTTAGGTCCTGCAGAAGATTCATGGGGTATCAATATCCAGTTCTAGGCACTTGCACTGATAAAAGACTCCAGGTTCAAGTCTGTGAGAGAGACAGAAGCCAATTAGATGCCAAATACAAATATATCTAAATCAGTAAATAGAAAAGTCTGTAGAATGTCTGAATTTCCCCCTTTCTCCACTGCCACCTCTAACGTTACTCTTCAGCAACTGAAGGTTGCAAAGCAGAAGTCACCTCAGGCGAGGGCAGGCATTAACACCTCTGTTTGCAGAGAACTTTTTTTCTTTTAAAACACAAACAACAGGCTTGAGATGACCACCTTCATACCATGCAACTGGAGGCCTCACCCAGGAAGAGGAAAATCTGGATTTTAATATTTTTAGGCATGAGGAAGTCCAAGCTCAGAGCTTTTACATCTGAAGTGCCTCAACTACTAGGGCTGTTGTCACATCCTTTGAGTTAACCTGCCATTGTCCCAGCAAGTGTATTTCTGGATCACAGTGTCAGGATCCTGCAGAGACTCAGCAACCACTTTTTCCTAGTGGTAGGGCTGCTGTACTCGAGGCCAGCTCTACTGTGACCTTGGATCAGACAGCAGGGTGGGACAGAGCTGCAAGGACACTCAATGGGATCCTCATCTTGGCTCTGGAGCTGCATTTCAGGCCCAGCTGTTGTCTCAGCTTCTTGTTGTAGTTGTGTGGCCAGCATGCTCGTGCCTGGCCATGAACCTTTTGGTCCTGAGTCTGCCCTTAGACTCAACCTGTCTCATCTGTTTGGACTGGTCTGGTGATCTGGACTTGTGGTTGAATGTGGTCACTGTCACCAGACCTGCTTTGCTGGTTAGGGTGCTGTGGGATGGGGCTGTGTCAGGGACAGCACTGCCCCACCAACTTTGCTGTGACCCTTGGCTGCCAGCTCAGCCAATTTTACAGAGCAACCCTCTCTTGCAGCTGCCTGACACACAGCAACTGGTTAAAAGGTGGTTGTGTTTATGGCAGATTTGTCCATATTGTCTGTTTAAGTTTAATCAACTTCATATATATATGAGTGACTGTTCCATTAATAACCTCTGTTTCCAAAGGAAGTGTGGTATGTTGCACTATTATGAGGCTTAATTCAAAAAGTGAGGCAAATATAGGTAATTTACAATTTGCAAGTTTTTAAAGTATTTAGAGATAAGTAGTAAGGAAATACATGAGGATAATTAACTGAAATGAGCTTAGGTATCAAAGCAACAAGCTTTGCAATGCCTAGATTTCCAAAAAGAAACATGAGATGATGGAGATGCACAGCTAGAATTAGAGTGAGGCCTAGGAAACTCAACACAGTGTGTGTGAAACCATCCAGCCCCATCTAAGAGGGAAACAAAGAGGATTCACACACTAAAGTCTCATCTTGCCATTACAATTTACGTTCTCCCCTGGAGATTCACTGCCTTAAAGCTCTCCTCTGAAGGCTGGTAGCTAAACACCCTTTCTCTAAATCAGATATGGATTGCTGTTAATTTTAAACCCAGCAGAAGAAAAAAAAGGGTTTCTGAGCTACTAATCCTGTTTTCAAGCAATACAGGAGTTGTTCATATACGCAAACAGCATTTGAGATGCCCATTTTCAAAGTTAAGCTTTTCACCTTATGCTTTGAGATTTCAGTGCTATACCCCCTTTGTTCTAGGACCACAAGCCAAACATGCACTTGCACACATAGTTTTCCTACACAGTTTACCTACACAAGCTTACAAGGTGTCTGGGTATTTGTGTCACAGAAACTGTTTCCCTGTGAAAAAACTAAAGTTTTATTATAGTAGTTGGAGAACATAAACATGAATTTGTATCTCTAACTTCTTGATTAGGGACTTTAGGAAGGAAGGGACAACCAACTCTTGGCCTGTTCAAGTTCCAAATGCTGTTTATTACTTTTATCCAGTGACTACCTGGCTAATATGAAATACTGAAGTAATGTTGGATTTAGGCATGCAAATTCTTTAGAAATTTTTTTTAAATGTTTTTTACTTATTCTAGTTAAATTTTTTCCTTATTATTTTTAGACAACTGTGTAGCCATACTGCAAGGTGTCCTGTTACAAATTCCTTTAAAGTGTAACAGTTCCTCTCCCTCTGTGTGCATGAATACAGGCTACCCAGCCACTGGATGTGCTGTTTTTCTCTGTACAGTGATCTGGGTACGTTTAGGAGTGACTGAAGGTCTAGGTGCCAGAAGCTTAATTCAGTTGCTTGAACTTTAAAATCCCTCAAGGGGCTGGAAGATCTTCATGGGGCTGTCAGATATGACACACCACCTAGAGGAGACCTATGCTCCTCCAGACTGGTGGCTGGAGGTCAGGTGGGTATTTCAAATAGCACTA